AATTAAAATTTCACCCCCCGAAACGAATATAAATGCGATCTTGGTGTTCATTTAAGAATTAAGGTTAAGATTGAGAATGCATGAACTTGATTAAACAAAATGATGTTCTTCTAAAATAATTCTGATGATATTTTTTTAAAAAGAAAAATCTAACGTTCGTCTGTTGCGTCGAAATTAGATGCATAAATTTAATTAAACGAAATAAGAGTCTCCAAAGAAAAAAGAAATATAAGCTCGGTCCTGATGTTAGTTCGATAAAATTTGTTTCAAGTTGAGTCAGGGTTGCCCGTATGAATTTGATTAGGGTATTAAAAAAAATAAAATACTGTCTCGTTTCATTGTTTGTTTGTTTGTTTGTTTGTTTGTATTGAAAAAAAAGAAATTGGACTTTATTATTAGATTTTCTTCGTAGGTTTGATGTTTAATAAGAATCGACGAAAGTTATGAATAGAAAACGATCGGAATATGAGTAAGCTCGGTTTATGGTGTGAGTGAAAGGGGAAGGAGTAGGTGGTGGGGTGGGGTGGGGGGGGATATATAAACGTGAGTAAAAATATAAGAATAGTAGGAGCAAAGTTTAAGAAAACATCGTCCTTTTTCCGCCATTGTATGGAAGAACGACGAGCGAACGAGGTAAAACGCCGGAATGGTGGAAAAAAGATTTATGGAAAATGCGGGAATGGCGTCGAAGTGCATAAAGTCGAAGTCGTTTGGGGCTGTCGGAGGATGGTGGTTAAACGGGTAACGATGGTGGTGATGGTGGTGATGGTGATGGTGGTTGTGGTGGTGGTAAAGGTGGGAATGAGTAAGGTGAAAGAAAAATAAAGTAAAAGAAGAAACGAGATGAAGGGAAAGAAAGGGGAAAAAATGAAAAAAAAACATGATGAAAGAGAGAGTACAGTTAGAGGAAGGAAAAAGGGAATCTTCACGGGGGCATAGAATTTTCCTTCTCACCCCCGTGTAGTCTGAATTAAACGACGACGAAATTCTCGACTTTTCGTGTAAACGGGAATCGTCCTACAAACTACGCCTTCGAACGAAAATGAAAGAAAGAAGGAAGGAAGAAAATTCGAGTTGGTTTTCTTCAACGAACGAACAAAACGAATTGTTTGACCCCACCACCCACTCTCCACTTCTCTACCTACCCTACGAACTCCTCTTCGAAATCTATTCGAAAGAATCCTCTCAAAGGATCTATCCTTCGTTTTTGTTTTACCGTGGATTTAGAAACTCTTGCTCGTATCTCATTTTTTTTATATTTGTATTTTATTAAAAAAAAAATGAAAAATAAATTAAGAAGAGATAGATAAATGGATAGATCCAATTTTGTACGAATTAATTTATAAATAATTTTATATTATAATTTTTTTTTGAACGTATTGAAAGAACTGGTCTTGTCTTTTATTGTATGACCCCATATATGAACCTCTAATAACGAAAAAAAAAGAATTAAATATAATTTTTTTTAAATAGACAAATTTTCTTTTTGTTTTGTTTTTTTATTTTTTTATCACATTTAATAATAAAAGTAACACAAAAATTAAACAATACAAATTTTATTGTATCTATATTCGTGTGTAATCCTAATAAAACTTGTAAAAAAAGAAAACTACCGTAAACGTACTTAAAAGAAGAAAAAAAAGAAACAAAATGACGGTGTTATCGCGTAAGGAATTTTCGTTAGTAAAAGAAAAAAATAGAATCTATGGAGATTTGAAGGGCTTGGTAGGTAACCTGGTTCGACCGTGAATAAAGTTTCGCGTTTATAGTACCCCTACGTACTCTCTCAGATATTATACGAGATATCGGGGCTTATGGTGATGCCTAAGCGATGGTTTTCCGCAAGGACCCTTGAGGCAACCGAGTTCAAGGATGCAGAAGGCGCAAGGATATAGATATATATAGGCTTTAACGTCGAAGTACAACGGGAAGCTTTTCGAAAGTGCAACCAGCCGGTTTTCCCGTCTACGCCTATTGGTTGTAAACGTTGGAACCATCTGTCCGAGATATGAGGGCCTTACATACATTCTCAAAATCTATTTCTGGCGGACATCGATCCGTGAGGGAAAAAGGGGGAGGAATGGAGGAAGGGAGGAGGGGGTAATAAGTTATCCAAGTACCCAACTTATTCCTCCTACGAGATTCAAGAATTCAAATATTTGATCGTATGAAAATTCATTACTTTCATTCTTACGTACGTGATCTTTGTAAAAATCATACGTTGATGTTTTTTTTCTTCCTCATAAACTACGAACTTTTTACAGTTACAATTTTTTTAAACGCAAATTATTTGGTCGAAAGTTTCTACGCTATTTGAAATGCATTAAAATAATTCTTTTCTTTTTTGTTTTTTTAAATTACAATAAAGTTTTGTGGTTTGTTAGTTTTACATTTACGTAACATTCCAACGAGTTGTAACTACGACGAGATGAATATATTTTTTAAAACGTTGATAAATTTAGAAAACAAATAAAAACCATTAAAGGATAATTATAAAATAAATAGTATAATATAAAATATACTTTTATATTTCACATGAGAGTTATCAAAAAAGCTTCTTGCATCGTACGTAAAAAAAGAAAGAAACAAACAAAAATAAAAGAGTGACGTAACTTGAAAGTTAATTAATTGTAAGAGAAACATGAATATTATAATAAATATTTGATAATTTAGGAGAGCCACTTATCGCACGTCGACCTTTACCAACGAAACTAACTCCTACTAACATAAGCTTAACATAAAGAGAGAAAGGCTTTCGACGGTAACATTCCGTTAAAGCCGTCCGTCCATTCGTCCTACCGCGTCGTTAATTTTGACTCTCTACATCGTACTTCACAATTTCTCAAATGTACCATGCGAAACGAATATTCCCTCCTAGCTTGTGCATTCATCATGCTCGGGACAGACGTCTTTTCGTATGTTGACGTGAAAGTAGTAACCCTGGTTTAACTTACAAACGCACCACACATTCACCCCTTCCCAATTCCCCCCTTATCCTCTATCCTCCCCTCCATCTTTCATATACCCGTTGGTTGTTGAATCTTTCCAGTATGTGTGTTACATTAAATAGGTCAATTTAGAATTAGTTTGATACATGTATATGTAAATACATATGTATTTGTGTACGTATGTGAGGGGGGGGGGGTATAGGCTTGGGTGTTTCTGTCTACTCAGCTAAATTACCATACGTTATGTTAGGTCAAGCGAATCATGCTAATTAAGACGACGAATAAAAGAATTTAAAAAAAAGAGAGAAAAAGAGAGAGAGAGAGAGATGAAAAGAGAAAGTCAAGGACGAAAGGAAACGAAAAGGATTTACCGAGTTGTTCAATTAAAAGAAAATAGAACATAATCCCCTGTGAGGAGGGTGATGAGGAGGTGGGTAGGAAGGAAGGGAAAGGGCTAGGGGAGGTCTGGGGAATACAGTATACATAGCCGCACAAATTTATTTTAATCCTAGCACCGAGGGTAGCACCGTTAGTATTAAGAGTCCCATTTATAGAACTAGGACTAGAGATAAGCGAGCCACTTTCGTGTCCTGTTCGTATTTTCTTTTCTTTTTTTTTTCTTTTTTTTCTTTTTTTTTTCTTTTTTTTCTTTTTTTTTCTCGTATTTCTAATCGTCTTTTCCTTTATTTTCCCTAACACGTCGAGTGGGAATATAACGAGATATTTTCTTTTTTTTTTTTTGAATTATATTTACATATACGTTATAAGTGTAAGTGTATATTATACTTCGTGCGTTTTCAAGTGAATATAATCTGTAAGTTAGTTGAATTTAATGCTAGATAAGAAAAAAAAGCTTCTTATGGTAGATAGAAAAAAGAATTTATATTTTGTTTCTTTAAAATTAATACTATTTATATAAAAAAAAATCTGATCGAATAATACAATATATCAAATTTGTTGTCAAGTTAATTAAATGGATCATAGGAAAAGATTATCGATCGTTGGATCGAGACAAGTTGATAAATATCAAAGTACTCTATCTTCACAACACACAAGTATCTTCTTCTAACTCGTATCGAATAGAAGAAAAGAAGAAAAGAAAAAAAAAAAATGAACGTTCGAAAATATATATATATATATTATAATATATAAGAAGTTTTACATTGTTCGATGTAAAGGAATATTTGATTTATGGATAGAAAGAGAATATATGAGAAAGAAAAAATAAAAAGGAAAGATATTAAAATCTAATGAAAGAAAGAGAGAAAGAGAGAGAGAAAGAGAGAGAGAGAGAAGAAGAAAAAAACAAGAAAAATTAAAAGAGAAAAATTTGGAAGTATTTCACGCAAGGTGCTTCTTAAAGCGAATATACGACACTGGTTGTTTTTTTCTTCTTTTTTTAACTCTCTCTCTCTCTCTCTCTCTCTTTCTCTTTCTCTCTTACTCCTTTTTTTCTCTTTCTTTCTGTCGTGGCAGCTGGTTCGCATAAACGTAGGAAACACTAAACTCCAGGCCTCGACTTTGAACGACCGTATCGCAAACCCCCGTGCGCCTTATTTTTAATAAAAACTACGAAAGAGAAGGACGAAACGAGACGACACGAGACGAAACGAGACGAGACGAACGATGAAATTAAAAAGTAAGTTTAAAAAAAAAGCAACAACAACAAAAAATCAACGTATAGAAACTAAGGATGAGCAAAAATTTCATAGCTTTTCATTTTTTTTTTGTTTTGTTAAAATAAATTATACGTGGTGTATGTTAGTGTATTGAAATTATTTATTACCTACGATCGATATAAACATTGTCATAACGTTGAATATTTTATATTATAACTATATATTATTTTTCCAAATAATTTTTTACATTTAAATCAATTAGTTTGATTCATATTTAATTAAAAATAATTATTATTAATTAAAAAAATAATAACAATTTATTTTTGGACACGATTCAATAAAGTATACAAATTTTATATGTTTCTGTATAACGAAACTCAAATTTTATTTAAATCGTTGGATCGTTAGATTAATAAAATTATTATCAACTTACCGGAAATGCCATCGTAAGTCCACCATTCCTCCCAGCTTGCCTCGGATTCTATAACAGGAAAGAAAAAAAAATTATCAAAACTATACTYCATTAAAATACTTTTCCTTTCCTTTTTTTTTTACATTGAACGACACTACGAAATTAATAGATGACGTATATTGAATCGATCGTTTCTCTGTGGTTTATCGACATTTCGATATTCTATCACGTGGTAGATCAATTATATTGTTCTCCTACTTTCTCTCTCTTTCTCTCTCTCTCTCTCTCTCTCTCTTTCTATGTATGTACATATATATCTTTCTCTTTCTAACCAACGAGATTTGGCTACATCGAATGTTGGTACTTTTAATTAGCCGAAAAATAAGTTCCTAGAGTGAATGATATCTAAAATGACCAAATTTCTATATCGTTATATAAATTGTCATTTTTTTTTCATTATATTTTATTATATATTTATTATATTATTTATTATATATATATATGAGTTATTAAAACCATGAATTAATAACACATGGATAGTAAAAACACTTTCGAACGAGATTTATTAAAAAATAAAAAAAGTAAAGTACGATAAAGCACAATACATATTTGATCAGTTTTAAAAACCGAATACACCCACACATACACACACACACACACACACACACATATATACAGGCATTTATATAAACACATGTACAAAAGGTAAGAAGAAAGTTTGCTACTTTTACGAAGTTTTATTAAAAAGTAAGATGATGCATATTTAATGTTAATTAAAAGTAGTAAATGTGAGTAATAGATAAAGAGAGAGAGAGAGGGGGGGGGAGAAATAAAGAATGAGAAGTAAATTGAAGAAGAAAATATCGAAAAGGTAACGTTTAAAGTTTCATCTTTGTGGTAAACCCAAAGACAAAAGAAGTTACTCGAGTATAATAATTACTTATAATATCGATCAATCGTTCTGATCAAATAAAGAAAGAAAAACATAAAGAGAAAGAGAGAAAGAGAAAGAAAGAAAGAGAAAGAGAAAAGATAGAAAGATCGATTCAACGATTTCTGATCATTCCCCCTACCCCAATGAACTGAGGGAGAAGGGTGATCAGAAACCTAACAGAACTTTATCGGTATCGTGTAGTGGTAGTGGTGGTGGTGGTGGTGGTGGTTTCATACACGTCGAGCATGCTGAGCTGACGTCTACGATTTAATCCTCTCTCTCTATGTGTATACATATATCTTTCTCTAGAGAATAGTAATAGTAATAGCACAGTTACTTCAACCCAAATACCTGTGCGCTTGACCAATCACAGATCTGATTAAATGTTTGACCGATAAGATTCTTCTCTTGTTTTCCTTTAGTATTATTACTTATCGTTTACTTTTACCTTGTTATTTGAATTTACGTTTATTTCTTTTTGTATTTTTTTTTTTTTCATATTTTTATTTCTTTTTAATGTTAAGTTAAAATAATTTATATTTTTTTTTCTTTTAATTTTTTAAATAGACTTTTTTACATATCTTTATACGATGTTAATTGAAATAAGTATATTAAATTGCTGTAACATGTTACATTTCACTTTTATTTCTTTCTAATATTAAATTGAAATAATTTATCTTTTGTTTTTAGTTTCATAAATACTCTTTCTTATAAATAATTATATTATATTTCATATAAATATTTGAAATTGTACTATACGTTGTAACATATATTACTTTGATTATATATCAAATTTTGTTTTATTAATATTATTATTATTATAATCATGGAAAATGGGTTGATTTAATGTATATATAATATCCTTACCTAAATATTATCTTAATAAGTTTAATTAGTAACACAATTAAACTTATTACTTTTATTTGTATATATGTATATATTTTTAAAACAAATTTCAATATAAACCAAAAATATAACTTCCAATAGTCAATAAAAATGTCTATGAATATTGTAATAATATTCATAGAATATTATTCCATTAGTTGTTATGATTTAATAATTTCATTTTTTTTTTATTCTTTATTCTTCTCTCTCCCTCTCTCTCTCTCTCTCTCTCTCTCTCTCTTTCTCTCTTTCTCTCTTTCTCTTCTTTTCATACACTCAATAAATCCAAATAGGATTATTAGTTCATAAGATAAATAGAACGTCAAGCAGAGATCTATTTCTCTATTATATATATATATGTACACACACATACACATACACATATGATATCTACATCTATATATATTTATATAGACATATATATCTTTCTCATTCCATCTCGTTTGGTCGAGGTTATCGCACGACTCCTAGCACCGAAGTTGACCCATATTCGATTATCTGGACGCATGCTATTCAGTCTAGTACTGCAAACTAATTGCTTCAAATTGGAAAACTTTCTCCGAATCGTACTCTGAACGATCTTCTCTCTCTCTCTCTCTCTCTCTCTCTCTCTTGCATCCAATTGTCAATCTCCGTTTCGTTGCTTTTATATAGATACATTTTTTTTTCTTTTTCTTTCTCTATCTTTTTTTTCTTCTCTACTTTTTTTCTTTTTTTTTTTTCATCGATATTTATAACAATGTTCCTTAAATGTATTTATCATTATTATTTCCTTGTACTTCAATCTAGTTTCTTTTTATTTATTTTTTTTTTTTTATATTTTTATTATTATTATTATTTCTCAAGTAAGAAAAAGAAAGAGATAGAAAAAAAGTGAATGATAAAGAATAAAAGATAGAGAAAGAGAGAAACAGAGAAAATTTTGCCGAGTTTTTCTCGTCTGATTCAAGCGAACAGGAACAAAAAAATATTTCCAGATGAATCTCTCTCTTACAATCAGATCCATAACAATAGCGTCTCATCAATTATGTACAAATGAAAAATGGAGAAAAAAAACAACAACAAAAAATAATATTTAACAAATATAAAAATAAAAAATATGTAGGAATATACGTATTATAGTTTAAAAAATAAAAATTAGAATTTAATTAAAAGTATATACAAAATATAAAAATAAAACAAATATTATTATATATTTAAGGTTTCAAAGAACTATATATTTTTGAGGTTATGTAATTTTTATATTTTATAGTTGCTGAAAAAGTCCTAAAAAGACGAATCATTCAACAGGATCAAAACAACATTTTAAAATTAGTATTTTAAATAATACGATCGAAAGAATCTGAAATTATGAATTCTCCAAAATACCAATGCAACCATAAAAATTAAAAAAAAAGAATTTATAATATAAAAATGATTAAAATACGTAAAGGATATTCTAATGGCGTTGCCACTCAAACGATCAAATGCATAATTTCGTGTATAAAAAAACGAATAAACAAAATCAAAAACATTAATAAAATATCAAAAGTATTGCAATGGCTATTCCTTTAAAAAATGTCGAATGAATAAATATTTAAAAAAAAAAAGAAGGAATTTTTATGAATGATTAAAATATCGAAAGAATTCCAATGACGTAAATGTTAACAAAAAAAAAGAAACTTTTAAAAAAGATAATAAAAATATTGATATTTAAACGTACAATAAAATATATTTTAAATAAAGGAAAAAAAAGTATTCTATCGAAAAAAACAAGTATTATTAAAATATATAAATATTGGAAGGATATAACAATGATGAATTGTATATGCATAATTACATTTTCCTATGACACGTTGCATGTGTAGATCAATGAGCGAAGGATGAACGCAACGTACAACGGATAACAAAATTACCGGCTAAATAATATGAATTTTGAAGATATATAAAGGACAGGACGAACCGTATAAAGCGATATATACATATATATACCGGGTGTCCCATTTTAATTAATCGCTACGTTAAACTATTCATAGAAAAAAATTGCTTTTTTGATTGATTCGTTCGAATCGATTTCAGATTCATTTATTGTTGTTGCATTTTTTTCGTAAATGAAATCTCGTTGAGAAGATTTAAAAGACTTGTTTTTTTTTTTCATTTTTATTTTTATTTTACAAATATTACTGCAGGGAAACGAAAAATTTCGATTGCACAAGAGTTTCCTCGAATATTTTACGTGTGACATAAAAAATTCTCTTTTTATTTATTGCCATTATTATTATTTAAAGAATAAATAACGTTACGTAATAATACGAAAGGAAAATATTATCTCACGTGATTAGGTAAAATGTTGAAATTAAAATTTGTTATCTGTATCGAGAATAAATTTAATGAATAAATAAAAAATAATATAATATATATATATATAATTGATTTATAAATTATTATATGTAATAAAGTAAAATATTATTATTGAATATTAACAACAAGTGTGGTAGGATATTATAGGGGTAAAAGAAACGAGTTGTTTGAAATTACGAAAACAGGCTACCTAGTATATAGAGGGTATGACAGCAAACGCATAGGAAACACGGGAAGAGCGAAGCATAATCGATGCATCGAGCGAAGCCGCGTATTGTCGCATTTCGATTAATCAATGGGAAGAACCAACGGAGGTAGACGAGATAATCGGTCACGACAAAGCGTGCTACGAATAAAGACCGTTTATGCGATTGTCATGCGCTTGTATCCGAACGTACACTAACACTGACATATTACACACACGCAATATATACACACGCACACAAATATCTATATATATATATATAGTTACAGATTACCATATATTAATACATGCTATTTAATGAAAATGCAACCGAGAATACAATCCAGAATAAAATATCCGCCATTTTGTTTATATACCCCATAAAAATAAATTTAAATAAATTCCGAATTAAAACTTACGTAGGATTGATCGTAATTTTTATTTTTAAAAAGGAAAACAAAATTAATTTTATATTTTACATCCAAATAAATAAATATAATTATAATTTTATAAATAATAATTATAAAATTATTTTTCAATAGTTCATAATGTAAATACGTATAAATGTATAGAGTGATCGTTGACAAAGAATCTTTACGTAAATTATTAAAGCTCGTAGTATTTTTCTACGAGTTTGTTATACGCGAGAACATACACATACACATATGTGTATAAATATATATATAAAACATTCTTTAAAAAGTATGAGAAGAAGAGGAAGAAGAAGAAGAAGAGAGAAAATATACTGCAGGTATAGTCTCTCGTTGTT